TTACAATGCTTTGAACAATGGTAGAATAATTTAAAAATATAAAATACTTGCATTAAATTATTAGCAAAAGTAGTAGTTTTATATATTTTACTAGAGAAATGTATCTAAAAATTGTTTGTAAATAGAATGAAACAGAAATACCTTGCATAGTGCGGATTTGATTAGTCCGGTTTGAAAATTTGAAAACTATAATAAAACAATATAAATAATAAATTCTAAAAACTAGTAAACAATGTTATTTTGTATATATAAATGATTGTTTTTGTTCTTTTAGTCCGGGAAACTAAATAAACATTTTTTTTTACTATATAAGCATTATTATTGAAATGAAGAAAATACTTAATTTTTAATTAACTGAAAAAAACTTACAAATTTTTAGTATTAGCCAATAAAATATTAAATAACAAAGGAAACAAAAAATATTTTTATTATATTATATTGAAAATATAATGTAAAATATTAACTAATTCTTGATTAACTGAAATTATTGAAACGATGTGTTTAGTAATGAAAAAGGTCTTTCATTTTGACGAAAAATATGTTGTTTTCTCCATTTTTGGCTAAATAAAGTCGTACACCAAGTTGTACTTATTACCTATATTTTACATACATCAGATATACCAAAACATTTGCCTAATCTATTTTTTAAAGATACTTCACAATAATGTTAAAGAGATGGAAAATTCCCAAATTTCTAGTCCCAACTAATTTATGGACATCTGAATCAGACAACTACGTCAACTAAATCAACATCGAATGGTCTATCAAGATTCACCCTTTGACATAGCAAAGTATAATTCTTCTAATCTCTACATTTCCTAGAAAATTATAATAATTCCTCACTAGGCATGTTCTAAAGGTGGTACATTGCGTGTACCACCGCCTTATCAACAGATATATGGACATTTATGTTCTAAACTTTAAATTCAAGACAATTTAAAGTGAAAACTACCAAACTAAAATCTTTGTAGATGTTTTCATTAAGCTAATAACCAGTGATAACTAATGCTATATCTGATATCCTAGGTTAAAAATTATAGTAATAGATATACAAATATACCTCGCTTAGTGCTGACAATCGGTTCTGTACTAATCAAAATTTAGTTTGTTATGAAATTTTTAAACCGTACTTATTTTAATATTGCTGTACGTAATATTTTAATAAATTTTGATTCAAATTGATGTCATCTATTTAATATAAATTTGACAAAGAAATTGATATGATGGTATTATGCTTGAGTCACATGATATTTCCTGACTAACGAATTGGTTTGCGTTATTTTGAACTATTATCGCTGCTTACTATCAGTGAATATCCGTTTCTATAATTCAATAGGAAACTATGTTTTATGAACAAGATATAGAATTTTATTAAAAAATATGCGTTGTTCGAAAATAAATCATGCTTATTCAGTCATAATGATGATTACATAATCCATATTCAAATATAAAAACAACAGTTTTTAATTTACATCATTTCTCTACAGTTATAGACATGCATATTATTTGCCAATTAATTGCTTAATGTTGACAGTATATAGTTTTTCCATGAAAAATGATGTATTTAAAATGTTAATGAAGTACAAGTTACTAATACATATAAAAGAAGAAAAATGTATCTTCTAGTCCTGGGGTTTTCAACCTTTTTTTGTATCAAGGCTCACTTAAATGTATAGTTAAATTTTCACGGCACACTAAACCACTTATTATGCTTCATTGGAAAATAATAGAAAAACAATCACAACACACCTAGATCTTAATTAATCATTGAAATTAATTTTATATTATTAACAAATATGATCATTTGAAATAGGAACTTATCTAAAAAAAAGTACGTATTTGGTACTTAAAGTTCCATTTTTTTATCTCGAAATTCGAAGAACTTGAAAAGTAAACCATCTCCTGTAACGGATTGTGATAGTGGTTTAACTATATAAGGGTTTATTGATGTGAATTAGAAACTACTGTTATTGACTTTTAAACTGTAGAACATCTCGTTCTTTATTTGCGAAAGTAATATTCGCAATTATATAGACTTGGCGAGTTGATTAGATCGGGTTTTCCGAATGCAAAAACCTGGAAATTCTATAATTTCTCGAAGTACGCGCGAATCTCGTTCCGCCGCAGGCATCGCTCACTAAACATGATTTACCCAAAAAAAAACCCGATCGATTATTACAATTTTCTTATTTCGTATTTATTTTATTATTTCAGGTGAAGATGTGGTTGAAATCATGTTCGATTTTCGTATGTCTTTTGGTGTTGACGTGCGCTCAGAAGACATGTGATCAGGTGAACACGACATGCAGTTGCCACATGGTCAGTTTGGGGGGTCTAAGCACAAAACTGGATTTGTCATGTCCCTCCGACCGACAGGATCACGCGCTATTTACCTACCTGGATCAGAAGGTCGAGGTCATCTGCAAACAGACGACCTTTTCCGAGGACGGCTTCAAGCTGGTTCCGATCCATCCACGACCTACGCTCAATTTCCTTCCGAATCTCAACGAGACCTATCTGAAGTCGTACAAGATTCGCGAATGCCCATTGACCGATGATTCTTTTGATACAGTTTGGCATCCGATGGGCGTCGATAATCTAGAGGCGTTGGTCATCGAGAATACGGCATTCCCCAAGAACAAACTTGAAGATTACTACTTCCACGCCATCAGCAATCACCTGGTGAATCTATCACTTCTCGGCGTGCAATTGGAAGAGATCGACAAAGAGGTATTCGCCCTGATGAAGAACCTGGAAACGCTCGACATCAATCAAAATCGTCTAACCATATCCGAACACCAGTTTTCGCATTTAACAAACTTGCTGGATCTTCGATTACACAATAATTTAATTGAGTTTATACCGAGTACAGCTTTCAAAGGCTTGAAGAAATTGGTTGTGCTCCATCTGTGGTCTAACCTGATAACAAGTTTGAACCCAGATACCTTCTCCGACTTAATCAGCGTCAATTCTCTAGAATTATCCGACAACAAACTGGAGTATTTACCCGAGGATATTTTCGCGAATATGAAGCTCCTGCGCTTACTCAACTTGGGACGCAACGATATTTCGAAAATTCCACCCCGACTGTTCGCAAACAATCGTTTCTTGGAAAAAGTCAGAATTGAAAACATGAAGGGCATTACCTCGCTTCCAGATGGTTTCTTCTCCAACTACACCTACTTGGAGGAAGTGAAATTGATGAATTGTTCTCTCAATAATTTAAGCGAAGATTTGTTCAGAAATTCGCACGCTCTGAGGATAATTCACCTGCAGTATAACGATATAGACAGTCTACCTACGTTCATCTTCGAGGGGTTGAAAAATGTTGTAGAATTGAAGTTGAACGGAAATAAAATTAAGGAACTGAGCGGGAATTTGTTCAAGGATTTGGTGAATCTGGAGATTCTGAATTTAGGCGAAAATAGGATCAAGATTGTGCCTGCCAATATGCTCACAGGTTGCAAACACCTGATCGAGCTTCATCTCAACAACAACGATATCGATAGTCTTGCATTGAACACGTTGTATGGCTTGGATGAACTGACGACGATCAATTTATCCTTCAATAATATTGATTTCGAAG